TTATGAATATTAATATGGGTGATATGATTATTATTTATGCATGAATATAGTCATAAGTGTTATATGTGAACATGTGAATTATATGAAAAGTAATATGAATTATATGAAAAGAAGCTATATGTCTACATGTATATGTGAAAGAAGCTATGAGCTTATATGAAAAGGTGATATGAAAATGTATATGTGAAATGATATAAGTGAAAATGCCCATGTTATGTGTAAAGAGAGCTAGAGGTATAGTTGGCATACCAAGAGTCGAGGGTTCTACGTGGTCCTTCGGGACATATATGTATTCTTTGGAACATTTACAGGGTCTTGTGAGACACATATGTGATCCATTGAAATATGTATATAGTTCTTAAGGAGTGGTCCTTCGGGACAAATACAGTACATAGGTCATTCGGGACAAAATTCATAGCCCCTAGTGGGACCCCATACGAGCTGTGGTGAAGCATAGTGCACAACCTCAATAGACTCACATATCTACAGTTCTCACAGATATACATGGGCTAACAAAGAGATAATAATAAACATATATATATTACTTGTAAAGTATATGCTTTTGTGATATGAATTGTATTATATGATTGATATGATGATGATGTGTATATGTGTACATTTGATTACATGAAATGCTATATTGTTTTGTGTGATAACATGATATGATATGTTCATGCATGATTAAGTAGTTAAAGTTACTTTAATGTGTTTAATGTCTCACTAAGTCATAGACTTAGCGTGTGAGTGTTTCACACGTAGGTTCTGGAAAGCAAGAAGAGAAGTTTAGAGGAGCAAGGCAGGTTAGCATTTTCCTTACAACGTTTCAGATCAGAAAATAAATAATTTAAATGTGTTTGGTTAATCTGAACATAGTTGGCATGTACTAATTGATTGAGTTGAATATGCTCTGATCGATTTTGGTTATTTTGGTCAATTTATGTAAATAAACAATTTTTATTTTAAATGAAAGTTTTTAAATTTTCTTTGAATTCTGTCAAGAGTCAAAGTTTGAAAAGTCAATGTAACACCCCAGACTCGTATTCGGGTCGGATACTTTTAGAGCTTTCCTATTTCACTTTCTTAATCTACGGTATATAAATCCAAACACCCACAATTGTTGTTCTTCAACTCAGACCACCAACCTTTCATCACTCTCAGCCTCTATGGCTACTTTCTCACAATATATATATATATATTAACTGATCATTAAGATCGATTATTTTTCAACTTAAATTCGGTCTCGTCCCGTGCCAAAATTATTCATTATATAATCCGTCACACTCCAAGTCTCAAAATTTCAAAAGAAAAACACACCACCTTTCTAAGAATTAGTCGGGTCGAGAACCATCATATTAGAGTATTTTAAACATCTCTACACTCGCGTATTTTTTCTCTCGAGTGATGAACCATCACTTGCTTTATGATCTATATGCTTTCTTTCAATATTCAAAAAATATATATTTATGCATTCTTTCCATCATTCCCATTATTGAGCTATTGAAATTAAATGCAGACTGTTCATGAAAAAGTTAAGATATGGTTAACGCTAAAGAAGAAAGATAATAGTTTTCCTTGTAAACACATAACAAGCTTTCAAGAGAAAAAAAGGACACCATCTCTATTTGTTCAAATAAGACACGAGAAACGTCTCAAGCTAAGGCTAAGGCTAAGGCTAAGGCCAAGGCCGTAAACATGGTGACGACTTTTCTTCTCCTTTGTTACTTACGTGGCGAAACCATTTTCAACTTCCAGTCATGTCTAGCCACGTGTGCAACAAACGGCCAAATGACATGTCACGTCACTAAAGCACCGAGGATATCCATTTCGTTCCTCCCTTTACTTCATAGCTATAGAAACATAAATACTAATATTAATTACAGAAAGATTATCGGCCATGCTTTAGCCTTTTTTTATTTTCTATTTGGTGCGTTTCTTCTCATTATACTTGCTATTCATTTTTCTCGGAGAATTTTAGAAAAAGCCTTGTGAGATGTGAAAGGAAGGGGAAATTTTGAGGATATTTTGTTTTGGCTCCAAAAATGGCTTCTTTGAATTGCGATAATCAGGAAAGAGGTTCTTGTTTTACTAACGCACGCTATGGAAGATCATGTTCCAAAGCTCAAGCTTGTCTCGAAAAGATTCTTCATTTAATTTCAAGTGTCCCACCGTCCTGTGAAAATAACTCAAACCCTTGCAAGAAGAGAGGCTTTGATGTTGATTTGAACTTAAGATTAGGTTCTTTTCTCGACGGTGGTGATGGGAATGAAGAAAAATCCGACTGTGTAGCTGAAAACAGCTTCATTGAAGACAAAACGTCTACAGCCACAGCGACGAATGCTTCTTCTGATGTCACAGATGTTCAAAAAAGCGGCAGTCACGGTGAAGTTAAAACGGCGGCGTTAAATGATTCATTGGGTTTGCTAATAGAAGCGGCGGAGATGATTGCATACAGGGATTTTTGTATGAACGGAAAAGAAAAGGAAGTCGAAGAGGCAGAAAAAAGTGGCGGCGGCCGGTCAATGGAAAGGGATAAAGACAGCTCGGTTAAAGTTAAGGAAGAAGGGTTCGAAGGAATTGAGGATACGGCGGCGCCGGTGGTTCGATCAAAGAGAGGACGGAGTCAGGTTTTGCCAGTCAGGTATAGGGACTCGGTTTTGGAGCCGTGGATAAAGCGACCACAGAGATCAACAGCGACACCAGCTGCCGCAGTGGTTTCGAAGAAGAAACGAAAGCCGAGGTAAAATAATCAATTAAGAAAGAAAAAAAGATACTAGTAAAAGTGAAATTCCTTTTTACTGTTAGATCTTTTATGGGAGTTACTGGCTTACTGGGAAGTAGAAAAAACGAGCTGAAAAGTATGTAGATCGTATTGTTACTGTTTTGAATGCAAATTATTATTCAATTGCTCTCAAATATTGCAAGAAATTGTCAAGGCGGGGTTCTCAATAAATACCCGAATTAGAACGACGTCGTGCTAAGGTCCATTCAGAAGACTAGGAGAGAACAGCATAGTGCACAGTGATACTGATAACGATTGGTCATCGAGTGTGACTGTATATTTGATCGTTATTTCGTTCTTATATTAAGCATATTATTACATACAATTAAAATTATTTAAATTATTAATACCTAATGTCGATTATTTTTCAATATCAATGAATATAATTAATATAAAATAGAGAGTAAAGCCTATAAAAAATAATGTTTCATTGCCCAATTTAACATATTTTATTTTTTGCACGAAACCAATAGATATACTTCTTGTACCCAATTGATTTAAGAAATTAGTTATATTTGTGTTATATATTTAGAATTTTAAAAATTATTATTTCATATATTGATTATAGAAAAATATTTTATAAACAAAATTGCAATGTTACCATATTTCCTTACACGTTGGTATACAAAATTTAATATATGTATTGGGTTTTGGTGCATCTAATATTATCATTTTTTTTGATGTTTCTTGCGTTGATATTGAAATTTGTATTTTATACAACCTTTGAAATACTTAATTCAAAAATGGTTTGTCAAATCAAAAAATTAGTATAAACTTAAGTTTGATATTTTTAAACGTATTTTGTCAAAACAAAAAAAATGTTTAAAATAAATAATATTTATTATGTTTAAGTCATATAAGTCACTAAGAATAAAAATAAGAAATAATTGCATCATATGTCCCTAAACTATCCCTCATTTTAAATCGATCCTTAAACCTTTGAATATTTCAATTTCTTCCTCAATTTATGATTCTCAGTTTAGATTAGTCCTTAAACTCTTGGACATTTAAATTTAATCCCTAAACTATGACCCTCTTTCTAAACTGGTCCCAAAACTTTTTGAACACTCTAATTTCATCCCAAATTCATCCAAATATATAATTAGTTTCAACCATAATTTAACCTAAATTGTTTTGTTCAGACATATAATAATAATCATAATAATAATAATAATAATAAAACTACCAATTTTATTAACAAGTGATTAGTATATATGTATAGTTTGGGATGAAATTGAAATTTTCAAAAGGTTTAGGGACCAGTTTAGAATGAAGGTCACAATTTATGGATAATTTTAATTGTCCCTTGTTCCCATATGTAATGGGGTAAGAGGGAGATAAGATAGTAAGCTGCCACCAATACTAAATTGAGAGCAACTTCCGTAGGAGACCTCCAAATTATGAAATGCCCTCCAAATTATAAAATTGAAATATTAAAAAAATTACAGACTAATTTAGAATAATAATTATAAAATGGAGATAAAATGAAAACATTTAAAAGTTTAAGGATTAATTTAAAATGAAAATTATACATTAAAAAAATATTATGCAATTAACTTTTTCAAAAAATAAAATTAGTTTATTGTTAATTCACAAATTAACCCATTTAGCATTTATTCAATTGACCACTTTTCCAAAGATAAAATAATACTCCCCGAGTCTCATTCAAATTCATATAGTGCCTTATTAAGGTTATTTTGTCATTTTTTTTTAATTTGAACTCATTATTATTTTAAATTTATTATTAATACAAATTTACAAAGTATATTTCAAAAACTTACAATCAAATAATTTTAAAATATATATCATACAAAATTAAATTTTGTAAAATATTTAAAATACTCTTAAGTTTAAAATTTTAACTTAAAAATAATAAGACTTTTAAAAAAAATTCAGTTTAAGGAACAAATTTAATGATGTGGGAGGAGTATGATTTTTGCATGCATCCACTTATTAGGCGTTAAGACACGAATATGGGAAGATCCTGAAGCAGGTGGCACCGGTAAGATAAAGGATGATCTATTAAGCACGATGATATTGCTCTTAAATTTGTGATTATTAGTACACTAACGACCTAATGTTGAAAACGAAATAAAATTAGACCAATAGATACAGAAGACAGATCTCAAAACTTAAACAAGATTGATTCTATAGTTTGAATGACGTTGAAACAAGTACTTCAATGAAGACCAGAACTTCCCATTAAATAAAAACCCTTTCATTATAATTCAAAGACAAGCCATGTAAAAGCAAATCAGACAAGAATGAAGCAACATACCAACCTAAAACATAATATTAACCTAAAGTTACGAATCATCAAGGAAAAACACCACGCATAAGTCTTCTTAAACCTTAAATCCCTCATTAACTAAGTCTACCAAAATAAGACAAAAGATGTCTCCCCCCAAAATCAAACATGCACGTTAGAGCACATAAACCCGACCTCATTTGCCTCCATGCTTGGCCTTCTTGTGAGAATCTAAACCACCCTCGGACCCAAAATACCTGTCAACAGAAACATCAAGGGAGTTGGTTAAGAAACCAACTCAATCAAAATAGGAAGCAAGTTTCAAAGTGACAATATAATGTACTTGTTACAAGAGCCACAAGAGAATTGACCACCAGACTTTGGAGTCTTTGCAGCATTTTTCCCAGCATGCTTTGCTGGGTGCGGCGTTGCTGTGTGACCACCCTTCTTACAATCTACCGTTGCAAACAACAATAATCACATAATAGTAAAGAAACTAATAGGCCAATTACGATTAAAAATATGTAGAAAAGATATGAAGTGGCAGAAAAGATATATGAAACTGTGGAATTTAGATCAAACAGCAATATGACCTGTCTTCTGAGGAGTAACAGCAGATTTAGCCTTTTTTGAAGAAGCAGGGGTTACGGGTTCGGCAGGCCTCTTCTTGCTTGACTCAACCTTGGAAAGAAAAAAGTCACAAGTTACAATTATGGAATCTTGTCAGCTTCAACAATTCAAACAATAATTAGATGTCAACCAAATATACCTGTTTTGGTGTTTCTTCATCCTCCTCATCTGAAATATCATCCTCTGATATCTGTTCACAGATCAATTACACCACATATCAGAATCAGAACCAAAGACCACTCACAATACATAAAAATAAGAAGGCACTCATTACAAAATTAATGAATTAAAATTTCAAGGCAAGTTGTTAAAAGAAACCTCATCAGAGTCATCTTCTTCCTCGGAATCATCGTCATCCTCCTCTTCAGAATCTTCATCCTCCTCCTCAGTTTTCTTGCTAGGTTCTGCTATCTTCACAGCTGGTTTAGAAGGCTCTGGTTTCGAAGCATTAGCCTTGGCTGTTTTTGCATCTGCCTTTGCTTTCCCTATGATGTAAGAAAACGTTAAACAGAAGAAATAAGAAATAATCAAATCTCCAACCATTGCTGTAAATATGGGTACACAAAGAAAGATTACCATTTTCAGCAGTAACAAGAGGAAGCTCCTCCTCCTCATCACTACTTCCTTCATCACCAGACATATCTGCAAAAAAGAAAAAACACATGAGAAATACTTCATGAAAATGAAAAAAACATGTAGGAAAAATATATTCAAGGCCTCACCAAAATCATCAGTGGCGACAGAAAAGAACACGAGTCAAGGAAGAACAAGATCGAAGAGGAAAACTTCATGTTCATTTAAAAACAAAAACATGGTAATTAAAACAAGTATACAAAAATGCCAATTAATAAAAGGATATCCTTCCTCTGGCACATAAGTTTTATAACCAAGGAAATAGACACTCCCATTCTTCCAGTTGTGAGAGAGCTCAAACTCTTGGTCAAATACTAGATCAAAAGATAATTGTGGGAAATTCTGGTGGGAAAGAGTTCCAAGAACAAGTTTTTTCCCATCAGTATTCACGTAGAGCGGAACAGATTCTGCCTTGTTCTTTGACTCACCAAGTGATGCCTGAAACACAAGCAGCATTAAAAATAAACTGATCATATATAAGAATATCAACTTGTTTAACTAAATATCTCCAAACCTGGGACAGATGGATGACATAATCAGCACCAGGGTCGGCTTTAATAGGCTGTCCGGCCTTAACTTCAATACCTGATAGTAAGATAAAAAAGATGATTAAATCTATTACTCTTAACTACCAAAAAAACCGAATATCCTCAAATGTAAAAAGCTAAACCGTAATATTGTAACCATCATCAGTCTTATTCATTTATTTAATAAAATCTCACAGATAATGTATCAAATAATAATTCATATACTAATAAGATGTATAAGACTCACTCAAAGGAAGCCAAATATATGCATTTACGGAGAAAAATAAGAGTTCAAATCAAAGGAGACACTAATATCATCTTAGTATAAGAAAAGGGGGAAAGGTCAAAACTTCCCAGAAAAAAAATTCTATTAACTATTAAAAACAGAAGAAGCGTTAACAAAACGAAATATATTAGAATAAGGTGAGAAGAGCTCAACCAATAACAGAGAAATAAAAGCAAAAGCTCAAGAGGGAAAGAATAACTTACCCCAGAACTCCATAGAAGAGGCTTAAGGTTTTGGGAAGAGATACCTAGGGTTTTACAAGAGAAATATGCTCTATTAGAATTAGAGTACAACTCTTCCCGTAGAGGCGGCAACGACCGAGGGCGTTGAGATGAATTTATAAGCAAAATGCCGCCCAACTGTGTTTATTCCATTTTTAGGGTTCCTTATTTTGGGGATTCTTTGGGTTGTGAGGGTTTATCGTTTGAACTTTAGCCCAATTCATTTGGACCTCGAGAAAATAGTCTAACCCAATCAAGACTTTAAATGACACAGGCTTCGGCCTATATTTTTAATTAACCTCCTCAATGTTTAAATATTAGTAGTGCATTGCAAACCTAAAAAACGCCCATAATGACATATTTTAAATTTTGGATAGTAAATTTCACTATATATTACCAACTAATTAAGTTATTTAAAAATATTTTTTATAATTATTCATAATTAATTAATTAATTAATTTGAATAAAATATTGAACATGTTTATTATGAACATAATCTGTCAAATTTACCTTGTTTTATTCACAATTTTAAAATCCAAATCTATATTGAGGTTTGAATAATAAAAATTAAATGAAGTTTGACACGTATCTTAGAGTTTAAATAGTAAAAATAAGATAAAAATCGGAAAAACAACAAGTTAGCTAAAGTTTTCGAATAACTTCTTTGGAAACTCGGTCGACCGTAGGCTTTCCAAAAAACAATACCAGAAAGATGATGAGCCCTATAATCCCCCAGCCATTCCTCCCTCCTCTCAATCCCTTATGGAGTGTGACGATCCAAACCCTTCAAAGAAGTAGAATATCTCCTACACAGACATGGTAACCAGGAGCAATTTGCCTCACTCTAGCACTAGCAACATGATATTTGATGACGATCGTCTAGCTCTTAAAGGAGGGCGTTCTTCTTGGCTCTTCCTATGACATCCCCACCATAGATTTTTCATATTGTGTTCAAAATCTAGCTATCAAGAGCATGGGTGTCACCCTTGTCGTCAAAGTCCTCGAACATTGGGTAGGTTACAACACTCTTCATAATCGTATTTATAATATTTGGAAACCATTACTGTCGTAACCGGTTTTCGTCCGGGCACGAATTTTTTACTTTGGCGAGAAAAGTGATGTGAATAAATGGTTTAAAATAATTTGGGAGTCGCCATCGGCCTTTTTGGGTCAGGTAGGTCGAATACCTAAAAAATTATATTTTAAAAGAGTTTTTAAGAAAACATCAGTTAAAAGATAAATTGATCTGCGTTTTAACCAAAAATTCATTCTTTTTAGAAATAAAAAGAGATTCGTGGTCGGTTACGTTTAGGGAAGGATTAGCACCCCTACAACTCCCAAAATTGGTACTTTTTAATTATAAATTGTCTCTATTATTGGAAATTTAAAAATTCAAAGATATATTTAATTATATTATTTCAAATTTTATTACTATAATTTTTAAGAATATATTAATTTAAATATATTTATAAAAATATTTATTTATTTAGAAATATCAGAAAAGGACTTCTAGGTGCTTTAAGACAGCTCTTTTCTTCAATATTAATAAATAAAAATAAATATTAAAATTTTAATAATTTAAATAAAACTAAATTATAATTTTTATAATGTTTAATTATTTAGAATACCAGAATAGGACATCCAGTTGTTTTAAGACTGCCCTTTTCTTTAATATTGAAAATAAATAAACATTATTATTTAAAAGAATATAGGTATATATTTATATGAATAAGATAATAATAAAATAATTATGAAAATAATAATTTAAACATATAAAATTAAAATATAAAATTAAATATAAAAAGTAATAAAACTTATAATTAAAATTAGTGACTAAATTATGACATATCAAGATTAAATGCTCTAGTTTGAAATATTATAAAAATTAGGTGTTACTAATGTAATTAATCCTTAATTAATTAATTAGAGGTCAAAATAAAAGTTATTAAAGTTATAAGGACTAAATACGGTATTTACCCTAAATGTATATAAGTATACAGGCTAGGACTAAATTATAAACTAAATAAAATCAAAAGACCGAATTAAAAGGTTCAAGATTTGATTTCAGTGACCAAAATAAAAAGTTACAAAACTGTGATGGCAGCGGGTATAGTTTACCTACGCGAGAAATTACAGATATACCCCTTTCCCAAAACGGCGTCGTTTGGGGAAGGGTTTAAAAATCCCTTAAGGCCGACCCTTAAGGGCCAGCTTCTCACTTTTATCTTTCCTCTTCTCTCTCTAGCTGAGAGAGAAAAAAAACTCTCTCGCCTCTCTCTAGTTTTCTGTCGCCGGCCGGCCACCACCAACGGCGCCGACTGCCACCAACAGTGGCCGGAATTCCCAAATTACCCTAGAGTGTAAATCTCGACCTCCTAAGGCCGAATATAGCCTTCGCTTGTCCTAAAACGCTTTAGATCGTTCTAGATCTAAAATAAATCGAAGGTTTTACCTTCGGTTTTACAATGATTCTGGTGGTTCCAAACGGTTTGGAGGCTTGTATGATGGTAAGATGCTCATTTTCCTCTTCTTTCTAATTTTTGGGTGTTGATTTGTTCTCGTATTCTTCTCTCTGTTTGGTTCACTGTTCTTGCTGTGGTTTTTTGTTTGTGTGTTGGTTGCCCCTCTGTTTTGGTTATCTTCGATTCTTCCTCCTTCTTCTTTATTTTGCAGGTGAGTCGAGGCTTTTATAGCCTCGACGAAACATTCCTCGGACCGGTCACAGAAGGGTTTCCCGGTGAGTCACCATAGCTATGGTGGTGACTCACCATAGAGTTTGACGTGGGGTGATGACGAGGCGTTTCTGGAGGTTTCTTTGAGGCGGCGGTGTCGTGGCTACAGCGGGGTGGAACACCTGGTAGAGGCGTCGGCTACTGCTGGAAACTATTGGAATCATCAGAGGCGGCTGGAAGCTGAACTGTTAGCTGGGGCGGCTGGAATTTTCAGAAAACCCTAAAAGGGTTAGGGTTTCTCAGTCTGGGCCACTAAATTTGGGTCACTGTTGGGCCTCCAAATTTGTAATTGGTCCCCGATTTTGGCCTGTTTGTAATAATAAATTAATAATAATATAATATAATAATAATATTTAATAATAATAATAATAATTTTAATAATAATAATAATAATAATAATAAAATGGAAAAAATTAGTGTTTATAGCTGCCCCTCTTTGCTTATTCTTGGGTTAACAAGAATAGAGCAAAGACGGAAAAACAATAATTTTTTTCATTTTTATTCTTTTGAGTAAGACTGAAATGTTGAAAACATCATTCCAGAGGTCTTAAAAACATCATGCACTGCAGGACTTACAGATGACCCTAAGGCTTTGAAAACATCAAAAAGCTCCCGAAGGCTTTTTGGAAACATCATGCACTGCAGGACTTACAGATGACCCTAAGGCTTTGAAAACATCAAAAAGCTCCCGAAGGCTTTTTGGAAACATCATGCACTGCAGGACTTACAGATGACCCTAAGGCTTTGAAAACATCAAAAAGCTCCCGAAGGCTTTTTGGAAACATCATACACTGCAGGACTTACAGATGACCCTAAGGCTTTGAAAACATCAAAAAGCTCCCGAAGGCTTTTTGGAAACATCATGCACTGCATGACTTACAGATGACCCTAAGGCTTTGAAAACATCAAAAAGCTCCCGAAGGCTTTTTGGAAACATCATGCACTGCAGGACTTACAGATGACCCTAAGGCTTTAAAAACATCAAAAAGCTCCCGAAGGCTTTTTGGAAACATCATGCACTGCAGGACTTACAGATGTAGGAAATAGTTTAATAAGTAAAAAAACTAAGGAAATCGTTTTCTTACTTTTCAACAATTTCATTTTAGAAAAGATAAAATGAGAAACTATGGAAATCGTTTTCTCATTATTTTTCAAAATAACAACATCAAAAAAGCTCCCGAAGGCTTTTTGGAAACATCATGCACTGCAGGACTTACAGATGTGGAAAATAGTTTACTAAGTAAAAAACTAAAAAAATCATTTTCTTACTTTTCAACAATTTCATTTTTAGAAAAGATTGAATGAGAAACTAGGGAAATCGTTTTCTCATTATTTTTTTTTCAAAATAACATGTTGATTGGGTAAAATGCCCCAATCTCAAGATAATGCTCATTTTTGTGGATTGCATCCATCTCTTCTTCAGATGTTTGCATGATTCCTGTATTTTTTGTTTTGAATACCTTCTTTGTGTAAGGTATTTTTTACCATGAATCTTCTTGTTCTTCCGAAGATCTGTAAAACTTCATGTTTGAATGCACTCATATGTATCAATGTAATGCATTGTCTATTGTGTAAATGATATTTTTATGAATGCATGAATGTTGATACAATCTTCATTTGACTTCAAAGTGGGGAACTTGGTCTTCCTTCACTTCATCATTTATTGCCAGGGCTACCTCTGGATATCAGTGTAGAAACTTATGCTATCAAGCTTGCATTTCTGTAGAATCATCTGATCAACTTGTATCTTTACGTCTTCTTAACTTCATTTAAGTCTCAGAAGAAATGTTTCATTTGTGGAACTCTTGTCGTAGTCAGAGCTATGACCTTGATGTCCCATTTTATCTTTGGTAACACCGACTTTCTTTGTCTGGACTTGTGTAGAAATCCCATAAAGCTTTCATCTTTGAAAAGAGAATCTATCATCTTTAAAAAGAGAATCTTTCATCTTTGAAAAGAGAATCTATCATATTTGAAGAATGTAGATGTAGATATGCCTGACTCAGCAGGGATTAATTAGGGGAGTAGAGTCTGTTATGATTTGACTCTTGAAACACATCATAAGGAGAATTTATCTCATTTCCTTTCATATCCCCATATTTAAATCAAATCTCGAATAAGGCAACTTGGACCATATCATATCGAGATGCTTAACAACAACCTGTAGTTCAACCTTAGTTTCTTGTTTGTTAAAATTTCAGCTCTCCTTCTGTGGAAAGAAATTTTCATCATATCTCACTTCTAATCTTGGGGTTGAAGAAGACAGACTTTGTAACACCCCCAACCCGTACCCGACCCGGATACGAGTCCGACGTGTCACATTGACTTTTCAAATCTTGACTCTT